CTTATTCTACTAACCCTAAACCTACCCTAACAGTCTACTCTGAGAGTTAGTAGACATGTAGTTGCAAATTAATGAGAATTAGTTGACATGTAGTTGACATGTAGTTACAAAGTTACTTATAGTTAGTAGAATGTCTAAAGTGGACTATCGAAATAAAGTGTAACCTATAAAAGTAATAAAATAATATATGCCTGCCTGAAATATCTGCCTTTTGACTATAGGGCACACAAACATATGAATAAGGAAAAAAAGGGGGGTAAAAGTTGTTATTATTATTATTATTATTATAGCTATATATTATTATTATTAGTTGATTTAAATGTACAATTTTAAAATATAAGGGATTCCAAAATGTAAAAACAGACCATAAAGGAACTGAACAATACATCGAGACATAAATGCATACTGAACTGAAGCAAAAAAAAGCCATTTCATAGCCTCCTAAAGCCATTTTTACACCCACTTTGAGAATCTTATGTAACTTTGTGCTGCATAAATACCCCAGTTAGTAAGTGTGTTTTTCCTCTGCCTGCCTGTCGGTGTGTCTATCTGTTTGGATCTAAAACTACAAAGTTTAGGAGAGGAAAGAAGGAAAGAGAGGAAACGGGTGAAATTAAAGGTGGCAGAGAGAGAGAGAAAGAGAGAGAAGCAGAGAGGAGGAGTGAGATAAACTGACAAAATGAGGAGAGGAAAAGAAGAATCTATGATCTGGCCAGACTTGGGAGACAGGCTCATCCCGGTGCTCTCATGCACTGTGAAAGCTCAGCGCTGCTGTTTGAGCACTTGACAATGTTATCAGCTCTGACAGCCAGATTGTGTTTTCACATGCGTGTGATCAGCAACAGATTACACACGTATACTTACGCACACACTCATACACTAACAGCCTTGCTTGTTCCTGTTTGCCAAAGAAAATGTGTTGATGTTTATCATGCTCTTAAAATAAAACGAAATAGAGGCCTTGTCCCTCTATCCTCCCGAACGCTACTTATGTCGGACTGAAGGTAATAAGACACACGTGGGTAACTACCGGGCTCCCGAAAAGAAAACAACGTAGGCGGGATTGTTGACAGCCACTAACATTGTGTATTTATCTTCCATCTCCTTACATCTGCTCGTTACAAACATGAACAGATGAGGCCGAAACCTCATAATTACCTTTCTCTGAAAAGCCTCTTGTATGTGTATATGAAATGACATAACCACTACTGGACACTTTCCTTGTGGCTTTGAACTTACTGATAATCGGATTGTTGATCCTGAGTGATGGCAAGCAGGTTCAGTTTGGACCGACAGTCTGGTAGCGATCGACAGCCAATGAAAACAAGAGGGAGAATAATTAATTTGTGTATACACATGTATACAGTATGTGTCTGTCTGTTTGTAAATTAGGTCAGGAAAACTAACTAATCTTTACAGTGTTTTATGATTCCATTGACAGAAACCTTCTTTTGAGATATCACAGTAAAGTGCCTTTAGGGAATGTCTAACAGGAAAATGTTGACATTTGAACAAATTCATTAATCAGCTCTACTGCACAATGTTTAGTAGACTGAACTAATGTAGTGAAATTTGCCAGTCCGAAATCAAACCAAATATATTTAAAATGTGTAAAATAAATATATAAAAAATTTAAATATATAAAATGTTCTTATATATATATTAAAACAACATTAAAATAACATTTTGAAATATATAAAATAAATTAAAGAAATGCAAAAATGGATATTCACTGCTTATGAGAGAAAAAAAAGAAAAATAATGTCTAGGGCAAATGGATTAAAACAGAGTCAGCCAGATCACCATCAATGACATAGTTGGTATAGTTGCTGTAGTTACTGTTGTTTCTGTTTCTCTTCCTGTTCTTTATCCAGTTTACCTACCACATGAATATGCAAGAGGAAACTCAGTAGCATTGTTTATATATTTATTTATTCCTTTTGTAGTTCCCCCAGCCATGCAGCGTATCTTGAACACTGTGCCTAGATATAGCTATTAACACAGAAATAATCTCTCTCTCTCTCTCTCTCTCTCTCTTTGTCTCTTCACCAGGTGCCAAATACACAAACAAAACTCTGAAACTACTCTGAAACCTAAGAGGGTCTTCCTGGTAAAACTGTGTGCTGGAGCTGGAAGAACTGAAGGAATTGTGAACACGGTAGGTATAGCATAATATACATGCTTTATAGACATAAAAGTTAATAAAAGTGATATTGTGGCCTACTGATCCTGAGACTAAAAGCATTTCCATTTACTCATATAGCTGACTGGCCAAATGTAAGGAACTGTCCATGTAAATATATGGTGAGTCAGAGAATCTGATCTAGATTCTCTAGAAGAAGAAGAATCTAATAAAACTTGTCACATTTTACAATAAGATAATTGTCTGTGCTTACATTTTACACCTTTCAATTTCTAAGACTAAAACGAATGCTTGAAAGATGGATTAATTATTACTCTTAATGAAAAGCACAATAACAATAAAACACTACAATGAGAAACTAGCTTATATAACGTTTATTAACAATAATAAATAAGACGAGGCATGGCATATACACCACATGCTGCATTACCTATATATTTACTAATAAATTAGAAAATTTTGCAAACACTGTTTAGCAAACACTGTGGAATTAAATTAATTAAAAAAAAATTAAAAAAAATCCATAGTTTAACGTCAAGTAAACAACAAAAAGCTTTTCAAAATGGAAAAAAAAGAAAGAAAATTAGAACTAAACTGGCTGTCGGTGACAGTGCTTGCATGTTGTTTGCCAAGAAAACCAACATGTTCACATTCTCTGGTTTAAGAAGCGGTCTATTAGTTTACTTTTACATTTTGCTTGAAAAACAAGTCCTCTGTCCGCCATCGTTTCCTCAGTATTCATGTCATTTTTGCGGACGTGGCGTATTTTTGTCACGCTGATAACAATAATTACTGTATTTGCATTATTGTAAGGGATAGGTTTAGGGTTGGAATAGGTGTAGACGTTAATACAACACAATCTAATAGGTAGAACATTTAATTTATTGTTAACTTCCGGCCGTAGTTGTATCCCTTCTAGCCACAACCCACTGAAAGTGCCTCTCTCACCTCACTCTCTTCACGTGATCAGTAAAATCTGAATCCTGCTGCGGCTCTGCAGTGCGAGCTTTATGGAGCGGAGAAGACGCTTTCAGTTTACAGTTGTAGCGTCCGTTGTCCAACTGAACTAAATAGTTTTTATTTCTGTAAAAAAAGCAAAACGACAGTGGGGGGCGGTGCCACGGTGGGCAAGTAATGCATTCGGTGTGGGGCTGAAGAACACCGGATAATACCGGTAACACCGACTACCGGAGCAAGCCTATTAGCATGTAGTTTCATATAGCTGGTGGAACTGAAGCGGTATTGATCTAGGTATTGAAATTACCAAAAAATGCAATTCAAGATTACAGTGTCTTGTGACCCAGAAGTGGGATCTCAAGGAAGCTGATACCACTGGGTCCAGTTACAGTCTGTCAGGCAGATTAGCAGGTTTTATTAATTCATTAACTGATTTCATGTTTTACTTCTACCACTGGTTTGTCTGTCAGTGACTCAAGTGGTGCTTAAGGTTAATTCTAAGGCAATAGCTTCATAGAACAACGAAATATCAGCATGAAGAAATTCAGATGACTGCTTTAAGATGGGGAACTGAAAAAAACAGCAATATGATAGTTTCTATTCCTTATCAACCCTTAAACGTGAATTCAATGATTATTTCTTAACATTCACGAGGTGGTCTTTGGCATGGAGAGCTTTGGTAATACCAACCAATGTTTCTCTAATTATCATCTCTTGATTCCTCAGTTAGATGTGTGATTTATTCATGTTTAGCATGTGTTAAAGTAGGCTACTTATCTCCAGTGATAAATAAACTCATTTAAATATATGGTGAGAAGATTGGGCTATGAGAGGGCACTAATCTATGCAAGGTTATGAATCAAAGTGCTAGGAGAAATTATGTTTTATGTAGGAGAAAAAAAAAGTTTTTTATTCCATTTTATAAAAACATAAATTTTAGTCCATTTATTTAACTATCTTTACAATGTTTCAGCTTGATTTTCTTTATTGCTAATTAAATTCAAAGGTATTGAAAGCATGTAATAAACATATCACTGCAGGTGTTCCCTTTGAATATACTTCAAAAAAATAAGACAGCAAATAAACTTCAGTTTTACATTTTAATGGGTTGTTGAAATATTTTACAGTATTTATTGCATCATGCTGGAACTAGGTTTGGATCTAACTCCTTGTTGCAGGTTCTTGTTTCAGTGTAATTATAGGCGTATTACTAAGTAATATCAATTAACTACATGTACTTACTGTATGGTTAGGGTTAGGACGAGGGTTTGGTTTAGGTTTAGTTGTATGTAATCATGCATAAGTTATTACTATAAGTAGCCTACATGTAATGTCTAACATGGACACCAAAATAAAGTGTTACCATAGCTATATATCTACAGTATATAGTACAACAACAACAAATAACATAACATAGGCCTATAGTAAAATGTTCCGTTTAAATAAATTAAAATTATTTTAAAAATCATTAAAAGTCGCAAAACTAAAAGTACCACTGTGAATGTGCACACGTTGACACTATACACAGTGTGATTTGACTTTATCAGGTAGAAGATAAAAACGCATTAGTGTTGCGCTTCTTTCATTAAAACACTGGAATGATGTAAGCCCGTCCCCCTTTCAAGAGTAAACCCGTGCGTAGAGAGAGAGAGAGAGAGAGAGAGAGAGAGAGAGAGA